ACACGTGAATATTTAACTGCTTTAAGAGAATATCATTATGGAGCTGCAAGCCCATACAATAAAGTTCAACTTAAACCAGGTGATCTTGTCCTAGTAGACAGTGATGGACCCAGGTCAGATTGGCCTATAGGTAAAATTGTTGACATCCATCCTGACCGCCATGGTGTATTACGAATTGTTAAAGTTCAGTGTCGAGGCACTACTACCTTGAAAACACTAGAAAAATTAGTACCTTTAGAGTTAGCAGAACACGAGTGTTCTACAGATATACCTGTAACCCAAGTTTCAGAGAACAATGATTCTACTCAACCGAGCACAAGACCATCAAGAGTCGCTGCTCAGAACTGCAAACAGAAACTTAAACAATATTTTGATTCTATTCAAGAGTAGATAACTTATCATTTAAACTTGAGGTGACCACGCTGATGCAGTGATGAGTTGATGTCCAGTAATTAGTTACGAGTCATAGTGACCCTGGACAGTAGCCTCACTGTATTGATGAGGTCTCCTTAATCTTAAATGAACCAATTATTCATAATTTATTTTTTGTTAATATCCTTCTGTTTCTTACAAAGGAATTATTCAATAATTTTCAATGTTTATTTACGTCCCCATGTTGACTTAGTCATCTACCACAGATTCGGGACATTCGTTAGGTGCGTACTAACCTACTAACCCATGAATATAACTTCAGGATAGAGAAACAGGTGTACGTTAGTACTAATACCTGAACTACGACCCGAGTTTTCTCTCCCCGGAGTTATGTTGGAAATAACCAACAGTTTTATACATCTTTGTATTTTATGCAACCTTTGTATTAACCACAAGTAGTGACTAAAATTACTAACTTGTAGATTTGATCATTATCATGATTTATTTAGACATATTGCCAGATTCTTCCTAGTCAGAGTGACGACGTGAGGAACGACAGGCAGTAACATGAATTCTCTCCACATTTAGTTGGATTTATAACAAGAGTCCAGTTTATCATTTCCTTTACTAAAAATAGTTACTTACTAATAAGTTTAATTTCGTAGTATACTACTACTTACTGGAACTCCCTTATTTAGTTGATATTAAACATTCTAGAGGAAATTACTTTAATGTAAATGATTTTACTTTAATTTCCTCGATTGGCTGCACAACTTTAATAAGCCAATTTATGTTACGAGAAATTCTATTTTATCACAGAAGAATTTAATGTGATATTAATACTCGTCATTACCTCTTCCTTCCTTAGTCAATTGCGATATATACATATACATTTACGCTCGAGATGTCTATCGAGAGCCGCGCATGCGCAATAAGGAAGAGGAGGAAGACGGGAGAGCGTCACCAGACACGAGAACGAGAGAGCACGACGCGGACGCCATTGACAGCGTGTAGCAGAGCGACGTTTTGATCCCATTTATTTCGCTCCAACGACCAGTAGAGCGGTGCCACGTTATCTGGCACAATAGCCGTGTCCCATACTAGTATATGAGCAATTCCAAAGTCAACGCCTTTCAAGCAGCAGGTGGAGGACGAAGAATTGCTCAAGTCTCCACATCAACGGACACGCGGCTCGGCAGCTAGGTTTACCTTTTTGTTATTATGTGGCCACAATTAACATTTAGGCTAGTTGTCGTTAGGCCGTAGAACAAAAAAACAAATCCCGTACGTGTCTTGAGTAATTTTACAATCTAAATAGATGATTATTTGCATTATTTCTCTCTAGAAGAAATTTATAGTGCTTGAATATAAATTGCACAGATATTGGCTGAAATTTCCTACAGTTATCCTCATGATTTAGGATTTATTTGTAGTTACTTATTATGTAGAAGATTTCTACAATGTAATTGCCTTTCAGTACCAAGGCGACGCCAACCGAGGTGCTAGGCTTCCCACCGTTCCGTGCAACAATTTACCCTATGCAACACGTCGTCGGTGGAGCGTAGCAACTGATTACACCTCACTAGATTTACAGCTAAGCTGTCCCTTTTTTATCTGTAGCAATAACTCTGTAATTACAGTAGTGATTTCTAAAAGAGATCAATTATACTAACCCATTGATTTACTGATACTGTTCAACATTTCAGTAGTATATTGAGGAGCATTTACCTCCAATTAATATTATATAATCAACCTTATTTACTTTCATATTTTATTTACTCTGGTGAAGAACCAGCACCAGAATAATGCTAGGGATGTATTAATCTTTTAGCATGTAACCCCCCAATTTTGTGTAAGTTAATTTGACTCCATTTATATCAGAAATAGTGTCACTAAGATCCATAGGACACTAGTTCTTGGGATCAGTTTTTCCATTGCTTTATTTTGTTTTCCACTTTTTCTCAAAAAGTGGTGGTCCTTCAAAGCTATCGAAGTATATAATTATTAGTTATTGGAGCCAGGTTTTCCCCGACTTGGCAAGCCATTCATGCCCAAGGCAACATCTTGCACAAAATCGTCACCAATCACATTCCCAAAACAAATGGAGAATTCAGCCGCAAGTCTATCACAACCAGGAGCCATATGTCTTTTCAAGATACTAACCACATTCCAAATCTCACTTCCCTCTACCTCACATGACAAAGCCTGGTTATCAACATGTGACAAGACCTGAGAGCAATAACTTAGGAAGACACCCTGCAATTCCCTTAGCCCTATCACATTCTTATAGTATTCCTTTATCTCCGCAAACGTACGAAAATACGCGATCCATATTGAATAAAACTGAACCTTTATATTTTGCGAGCGAGTTAACTGTGAGCGGTTTTCTCTTTCTGGAGCATAAACCGAGAAAACTGTTCCCCATTCACCCATTCCTCCACACCTGATCGAAATCATATCTCTTCCGCTATCTTATCACACAATCTAAAAAGATTTTTTGCACTTAGAAATCTCCGTAAACCTGACGAACTCGCAATTCACTTACAAGTAAATTTAATTTGTTGCAAGTGAGGCTAACATGAGTTGCAACAAATTCAATAGGACGAATTTTCTGCAGCCCTCGTCTTCGCGAGAGAAATAAATACTTTTTTATACACGTTCTTACACCAATTCTATCAGTTCAAAAGATAGGGAAACACCCGTTTCTTGTGCACCAATGACTCCCAGAGAACCCTAATCTAATGAACAACTTCCTCACACCGTAACAAACTACAGTTGAGTTTCCGCCACCTTCCCACTACTCGAACCTGACTCCGAACCTCTACCTTAGCAACAATCATACAATGATCTGAGAACTAAACTGGGATCATAATATGGGAGCTAACAACACACTGTCACCGATCCATATACGATCTATCGATCGGAGAACCAGAATTCAGAGTTACATCAAACATCAAACACTAGCCAATTTTTTAACAACTCCCAACAAAGGAACAAGAGTGGAAACCTTAATAACATCCCACATCTCAGGCACTCCTTGTGAACCAGATCCCCAAGCACTGGGGTCACATGCCCCTTCTGCAATACTACCTCCAAAGCATCACCAGACTCACAATGAGCCTCAGACTCAACCACACCCCACTCCCCACTGCATCACATCCCCACCAATAGGAACATACAACCGGTTCTGAACAATGTCGTCCACCTGGGAACCCGAGGCTTACAATGCCTCACCACCTCGTTCCATACACACCTGATCCTCTTCTTTACCATCAATACAGACATGGACACCTTGTCCTCCATCTTCCGTCGTTTCTGTACGTACGGCAAAGAACCCTCGAAGAATTTGCTGTCCAACATCAGGGTAGATTCCCCAGCAGGCGAATAGTTTGCCGACACCATCGCATGTGGGCCAGGAAAGCTGTCCACACTGCTCTCCATCTGAGGTGCAGGACACCACTGCTCCACGACCTTCTTCAATTCCGACACGCCTCCATCGTCCAGAAGATCTCCCACCGGATGCACCTCCACAGTCACAATATCTTGACCACATGTACCACCACATCTTGAGCTGTATGCACGACCTTTTTACCCCCATTACACACATCTGGCAGAACATCCACATCAAGGTCCTGGGCACAAGCTGGGGTAACACCTGCACCAGAACCTTCACTTATCACCATGCTACCAGTCTCCTCGTCCTCATTTGTGCGAGCACCAGCAGCACCGAATGGGGAAAAATCGGTCTTATGGAAGATGTTCAACCGGTTTGCTATCTCCAATTGATAGGTAGCAGCAAAGTGGCATCAAAACCCACACGTAAAATAAGTCCTAGACTGGCCGGCATTAGTTAATGGAGGCAATGACCAAACACAGATACAGAAGACAGTATTTTCTACTCCAGCACCAATCTCATGGTGTGGACACCGTTGAACAGTCCTTCACTTGGCCAGATGTAAACTTGTTCCACTTGACACTTCACCTTGCCACACTGCCCAAGAATACCAGTGAGCACCTCGTTTGACAATTCACAAACTTTTAGATACCGCTTGCCATTACTACGAGCCTTCAATGTATCT